CTGCGAAGTATTAAAGAGTACCTTCCTCTTATCTACAACAAAGCTTCACTGAAGGCAAAATAGGGTTTAATTCAGTTTTTGCTTCAGTTTTCTCAGTCTAGCATGTTCCTTCTGAGCAGAGGACGCTACGCCTTTGAAGTCACCTTCACATTCTTCCATGCAAAGGCCGCAGCTAAATTTTGGCAACTTTTCAAGGCTGCAAGGAGCCTTCTCAGCAATGTCTGCTATTACTGCAGGCCAGCGTGCTACTTCCTGCCCTGACACGCTTACCGCAAGCAGTCCTACAAGGCAACTTACGGGTCCTGCCAGCACAGCAACTAAACCGGGGCCTGAGCTCAAGCGTGATGTTTGCTAGCACAATCCATGGCATGGTTTCGACCTCTGGCAGCTACTGTTGCCCCAGGCAATGCCTGGCCACGCTGCAGGGACAGGACAGAGCGCTGACTCTGTGACTGAGGCTACTTTTTTTTTTTTTTTTTTTTTTTTTTTTTTTTTTTTTTTTTTTTTTTTTTTTTTTTTTTTTTTTTTTTTTTTTTTTTTTTTGGGCTGGGGGGTAGGGGTAGACTTTTGTCACACAGATGCAAGCTGTGCAGTGCCACTTGACCTCTCTTGCTGTGCCACTTGACCTCTCTTGAGGTCAGAGAGGAGCCCCAGGCTGTTTTACTTACGAGTACAAACATAGCCAAGAGAGTCTTTCCTGGACTGGATACAGGGATTTGAAGTCGCACTCGCACAATAAAAAGCAGCCTATGAAATGTGCAAAGCAAAGATATACCTTTTCCTGTCCCCTTGGTTCCTCGTTCTATCAAGTCTGTTTGAACTGAATTTCCAGTTGGTTTGTTTTTCTAGTTTTAAGTGGATTCTAAGAAATACTATTAACCATAAATCTAACCCTAAAGGATGCAATTAAAAATGTAATTTGTGTCCCAAAGCACATGGATTCACTTAGTCTACTCAAAGTAAATGAAAGCAAACAAACTCTTTCCCTTTACTGAATGCAAGAGTTGAAACAAAAGTGACGTGTGGCTTTAGGAAATAAAATATTAAGCAATATCACAAAAGAATCTGTGTCTGTGATGAATCCATGAGGCTTTTTTACACAGCCCTTGGGACAGCTGGAAAGCAAACAACAGCTCCTTCAGTCCATCAGCCTTTAGAAATATTTCTTAGTAATAATTGTAGTAGTTAAAGTAAAAACGTAGACAGTAATGAATAGCATAGTGTCTCTTAAAGCCATTAAAAACCTAACAACCTTTGACAGGCGGTGACCAGCACTTTTGGGAAATGTGTTCTGTTCAATAAAACTTTGCTTAGTTTGCGTAGCTACTATTATTATTTTAATACTTGTATAATTGCTCAGATGTTCACACTGTAAGGTAAAGAGAATGAAGACATGGAACCAGATTCTGAAATGTGAACCAAATGCCCTGGACTTCAAGTACATTTATATCAGCTTAGCCAAGAAGAGAATCTGTCCCTGGCTCCCACAGCTGGCAATCCAAGCGCTGAGTTCTTCAAACATCCTCACTGTCACAAAGAGTATTTGAGTACGTGCACGATCAAGTCCTATATGACTACCTCACTGTGGATGATTTCATTTCTGAGGTCTTGGCCTTTCATTCTACAAGCAGAGGTGTATCCAGGATCATGACCATAATCCTTTTCTTTCCCTGCTCGCAGAAGCTTAAGCAGTAAGATCAATGCAACATCAGAATCTATGGCTTACCAGAAAAACATGCTTTGAGTTTTTTGAAAAAAAAAAAGAACAGAAATCATCTTTTACCAGACTTCAATTCTTCTCCTACTTTGCTTTCAAACAGCATTTCAAATTAGCATAGCAGTATTCAGTGTTGGCTAGCTAATGCTATGCACATTCTCATAAAGCTCTAGCATAGCTTATTTTTCAAGGCATACACAGAACTGCTAAAACCGCTCCTGCATAATCACAGGAAGGTATTAAGATACCAGACAACAACTAGTTATGTGTTTTCTAAGGTGAATAACATTCAAAAAAAAAAAAGTAATTCACATGATCCGGAAGTTCTTTCAGTTGGTAGCAGACAGCAAATGATAGACAAACACTTGTCAAGCTACAAATATGCAATTCCTCCTTCGTATTAATAGCTGTGCTGACTCTACAGGGATCTCATAAGACTAAATCCTTTAACTAGTCTGTGTAAACAACGTGGTTAACTGTAGCAAGCTGCTGATATTCCAGAAATTAAAGCAAAACCCCCACAGAACAAGCTCTCCTGATGATTCTGTCTTACAGAAGACCAAAGTGAACACGTAGCAATTCCCTGAAGATCATTTCAGCGCTAAAAACTTCTAATATTCGAAACAGAAATGCCTAAGAATTAACGTTACCTTGATCTTTTTTCCAAAACACAATCCCATGCATTTGTCCTGAAATACCAATGTGACTGACTCTTTGAAGCAGTTTCTGGGGTAGAGCAGCAAGGCACTCATTCAATGCTCTTATTATTTTCCAGACGTTCTGCTCCTTGCCCTGCAATCATAAAGCATCATACTAAGCATAACGTCATTGGGATTCACTCGCTGTATTTATTAAATAAGCCTACTCTAGCCAGAAGTGAACAACGTAATTCATTTAACTTAACAACGTACATTAGAATAACATTCACTCCTAAATTGACGGGAATAATGCAAAAAACCCAAACCATAAAACCCCAAAATCAATACTAGCAAGTTGAGACTGATAATAACAGCACCTTACCCTGAAGACCAAATAACTCTTGCAATAATTTCTCTGATTCTAAGTTAGCATACTCAAAATATACCTTTCTAAAAATCTGTCCCCTTCTCATGTTCATAGTAACACTCTTCCTCCTCACTACATGCCTTTATTAATTCAATTTTTTAATCGCTCTTCTTTTTCCTCACAAACAGGCTTACCTCATGAAGAGGTTCTGACTTGCATGCACTCTCACATACACCTTCCTAAAGCCCCTCCAATATCCACTTACTGTTGCTTTTGAGGAGGCTGATACTTCATTTCTGCATATTCTGTTCTTAGATCTACCCAGCAAACTGACCTGCCTGGTAAACTGACCCACTCATGCCACAACAGAAGCTGTATTACAACTTCCACACTTTGAAGATTCAACTGCGTGACAGAAAATTATAAGCAAAAACGTTTAAATATAGTCTATACGTAGATGTGAAGTATTTTGTACACACACACTTTTGGCTGCATAAACGTAACTGCAGGGAGGAGCTTTGATACCTCTGCTCAGGCAAGACGCCTGGAGGAACGTCAATAAATATTTTTTTCAATTTTATTTGATTTGTGCTTTCTTAGATTGACCAACACAGCAGATCTAAAGTCCTCTAACAGGAGTACCTATTCTTGGGTATTTCAACTAGTAATTTCAAGTTACGATTCCACCTCACGCTGAAGTACAGAATCACTTCCAGCAGGCAAGTGGATGTCATTTCCTGACCAACAGCATCAAATATGAGGTGATGGTTCATGGGAGAAGAGTTTCAGATTGTCTTATGACATCTCTGAGCCTATAGCGGAAGTGGCGGCAGACTTTTCCAGCAGAAGGTCTGCAGAACTCGTTTTTCTCTCTGTGGTGCCACTTAGGG